GGGGGGAAATGTAGGGGTAGACAAATAAAAGAAGACTGTGTGAAGGAAATTGTAGAATTAGTAGACTGGATATCATGTCTTGGTGAACAAGGCCCAGGATATATTCTCTAATTTTTAAAAAGGCACCTGAAATACTTTAATCTCTGCAACTAAACCACCTGGGTGTGTAAACACAGGACATCAGAAGATCCACTTCTCTTCTTATCTGTCTTATCTAAGGCCTAAGCTAGGCAGTGGTATGGGGAGGACAGGGGGTCTGTGAGAACTGAGGCTGAGTGGTAATTCATGCTGGAGGATATTAATACAAATCCCTGTGCTTCTGCCAGGTCCAGACTGTTTTTGAAGGTAAAAGGATGGAGAAAGAGGAGAGTGTGGGTGAGCTGAAACAAGATGATGGTAGAACTGGTGTAGGAACAGAAAAGGCAACAGTCAGAGTTATGAGAAGCTGCTGGCTCACATCCTGTGCTAGAAAAGAGAAACAATAAATGAAGAAGATTGGAGGCTCCCCTGTATTAAGTCGGATTGTGGCTCATCTAACTTTGTATTGTTCACACAATTGACAACAGCTCTTAAGGGAGTCCCATGAAGGCATAAATGGGATTCCCAAATTAGCTAGCCAGATTATTTACCTACACCCTCCATTTTGTCAATCCTGTTGCCTTCCCATAGAAAGAAGCCTGCTGTCCCTGTGTAGACTCCGCCTGTGATTTAGAACCCCTATTGTGTACTGTTCAGAATCTGTGAGAAGTCCATGTCAGTGCAGCAGTCCCTCTGCCACTACAGGCTTCCATACCCCCAACATGTGAAGAACAAGAGGAAGAGCAAAAGGAGGTGAAGCAAACTAGCATGCCTCCACTTTTCCCCACACCAAATAAAAGAGATACTTGAGGAAGGAAGGAGTGTCTCCTCATGTGTCATGCTCTCTCAAAAACTACATATCCCAGAGTTCCTGCTGACCTTCTTTATAGATGCCCTGGAGGAAGTCCAAACACTGTAACAGTCAGGGTTATTATGCTCTTAATGGAAGCTGATGTGGCTGATAAGATGTTCCAGATAGAACGCATTTACTTCTCAAATGAATAAATTTCAGCCTTTGGCCTTCATGGTTTATAAAAGAACCAGTGCTGGATTACAAGTAACTCTGTTGAAGGCATTTGTTAATTGTGCTTAGTTGGCTAACATATGTATTTATCTACCATGTGTATACAGAAACACTGATTAGGTAGTCAGAAGCACAAAGAGTTTAAGAAGATAATAGCCACCAATCAAGTTTCCACCCCCTTTTCTTCAGATAAGGTCTTTTGTGGTGGGAAGGGGAACCTAAGTGGCAAATTTGTACCAGGTCCAGAAAATTATACTTGAAAAACTGATAATTTATATGTAATGGATATATAAATGACTACATGTGCTGAGGTCAGTTCACCCTCTGGCTTGCCTAGCAAGGCCATAAGGAGTTTTCAGCAATTTTTCAGAAGCCCAAAACTCTTACGCTGATCTGATACTTAGAAACCTCTTTTCCTCCAGTAATTTTGTATGACACAGAAGGTTATTACCGTTTCTATTGTAATGTATTGTTATGGGAAGTAGAAAGGCAAATAAAGAGGCACATCATGAGGATATTTATTCTGCACACTTAGTACACAATTGGTCATGACTCTGGAACTAGTTCCCATTAGAGGATTTACTAGCCAGAACTTTTCATCATGTACCTATGGGTACAGAAGCTTCAGGGACAATAAATCTGTTTTTAAAGGCAACATGAGATTCTTAATCTGTTCTAGAGAAAACTACATAACCAGTCTTCTGGGAAGTTGCATACACTGAGATTATGGATGAAAGGGCAGGATACAAGTACAACAGGTAAATAAGCTAGTGCAGATAAACTATTTGCTCAGCTCCTTTCATGCTTACATTAAAACCATATTTGCCTGAATAAGAGGTTGCTTGCTTTCAATAGAAGGATAAAACTACTGCCCAGGTGGGCTATTCAGTCAATCCTCTTCTTAAAGGCACTGCTTGTACTGTTCAATTTTGTTGAGCAAGGAGAGGACAGATATTGCCAAACCCCAGGGCATCTAAACATTCTCCTTCAGCAGATAAGTTCTACAGACAACAGCAACTTTTCGAAGAATTGTTTTCAAACAATTGGAACAGGGATTCGTGTTACTAATATCTTATGCATAACCACAGCGGAATGGTAGAAATTATTCTTGGGTTAGCCAAATAATTTACAAATAATTTTGCAAAACAATATTGGAAATTGTGTATGGCCAAGTTTGTTCAGCACTAGCTTACAAGGTGATGTGCATAACACAGAAGGACACACTCTGTAGAACATCAAAATGATCCCTGTGATGGATCGGACCAAGAACTACCTTGCCAAAAACCCAATTTTCAGCAGGGGAGTCCAAATTTCTCTCCAGCACCAATCATAGAAACAGACAAGGGAAGGGACAAGCTTTCCCTGCTCATCCCCAGGTCCTTGAACTCACCAGAAGTACTAACACTTACCTGAAAGTGTAAAGGTTCTTTTTTGGACTACACCTCCCAGTTCCAGAGAGCAGGACTTAGCAGTGGTGGATCCAAATTACATTAAACAATAGAAAGAACACTAAACTACTAGACCTCACAGATAGTGTTGTCTTGACAGATAACATGTATTAGAAGAAGGAATTGTACTGAAGAATATACAGTTGTCACAGAGGGAGCTGTTCATACCTTATGTAGTTTGCAAATTAGCTTTATTTTGTGATGGATGGTTGGGAAATAAACATGTACTTTATTTTGAGGTCTGATTGTTCACATAGGCAGGTCTGTCGGAATCATACCTCTAGGATACTACTGAGACGTCTCCTTTGAATATGTTGCATAGTTTGATAAACAGGCATAAGTAGTTTGACAACCTTTAGGCAATTAATGTAGACATTTCTACCCAATACAGCATATCTTTCTGTTTGTAAATACACATAAATAAATGCACCAGAGTTTTGATGTGTTGCTTTTTGGGACCACAGGTCACATGGCTGCGGTATTCTGAGAGTTGTAGTTCAAACACAGGGCTGTTCTGGGAGTTGGAGTGCAAAAGAGTAAATCCCCCAAGCTCCAAAATGCACCCTGTCCATCTAGTAATCCAGAGAAAGGTGCCGCCCTTTACACATACCATGCAGATCTAGTCTAGCCCAAGCCATTTTAGCATCTGAGACATAGAACTATCAGCTCCACTGCACAAAATAACTCTTGACACACAGTATTCAACAGTATGGTTGAAAGCACTTTCCCTGGACAAAACTTTACTTTCCATTAAGTAACTGTCTATATATTACATAAAGTAACTGTATACAGGGTCATTGCAAAACAACAACAGCGGCAAAAACAGAAGGATTAGACCCTATGCCCTTGAGCCCAGCTCTGTGTTACCCAGTTGGAATCACCTGGCACTGCTTGTTGTGAAAACAGCCTTCTGCTTGATTAGAAAGGAGTATGCCTTGTATAAGCACACACAGAATAGGCATCTCAAGAGGGAAATTCACAGGCAGCCAGACGTCTTTGGTGAAGTTTGACTTTTAACCTATGATTCATTAACACCCTTTCAATGTCACGGTTTCAAACCAGTGGTCCCATATTCACCTACCTATCACAGAACCTTTGTTTCAGTGGACAGCCCCGACTGCGAATGGGTCCTTGCACAATGAAATGCACTATTAGGTTTCAGCAGTGGCCAGGGATGCATTTGCACAATTAAAACTAGTGTGACCGCTGCTCCCATTCCTGAAAAGGATTGATCTGGCCATGGTGACATATGCCTTAGTTACATCCAGGCTGGATCACTGTAACACGCTGTATCTGGGTCTGCCTCTGGACACCTCAGTAGGTCCAAAATGTGGCAGCCAGATTGGTAACTGGAGCTGGTCACAGGGATCACATAAACCTCACCCCCACTCCCATTACAGCAGCTCCACTGACTGCTGATCCATTTCCCGGCATAGTCAAATTGCTAGTTCTAATATATAGAGCCCTAAATGGCTTGGGTCCCACTTATCTCAAGGACTGTGTCTCTCTTTATGAGCCTGCTTGGAAGTTGAAAATCAGGAAAGGCCTTTCTCTCAGTCCCACCACTGTCTCAGGTGTATGTTGGGGATGGGGGATGGGAGAGGGCCTTCTCTGTTGTTGCTCCCAGGTTTTGGAACTCCCTCACACATGAGGCCAAGCAGGCCCCATCTTTGCTGTCCTTCCACAAGCAGGCAAAGACCTTTCTCTTCAGGCAAGTTTTGCCTCAGTGACTGGCTGCCTGAATAGGGTTTTTAAATGGACTATTGTGCTTTACTGCTTTGAATTGTGGTTTTGGTGATGCTTTGGTTTACCATCTTTTCGTGCGCTATTTGTTTGATCCTTTTTTTTAGTATTTGTATATTTACTGTTTTTAGCTTTAAATGTTTCATTTAATGATGTAAGCCACCTTCGGTCCTTTTTAAGGGTACAGTTAAGGAAAGATAACAAGTAAATAAATAAATAAATAATATTAGGGAAAGGTTTCAATCACCAAGGGCTGGGGAAGGGATGGCGAGGCTGCTGCCTTCTTCCCCAGCACCAAGCTATTTCTTCACTAAGGGTGTTTCAGGGGGTTCTGTATGTGCATTCCAAGACATGGGTTTCCAGCTGTAGTCTGAAAAAGTACAACCCAAACAAAAATTTACTGACACCATTACTTTTTAGGCCATAGTTTGCAGGAATTCCTGTAACTACAACAGTTGGGGAAAGTGTTGCCACAAAAATAGATGATTAGGATCCTGATAGACTAACTTGTGTATATGCACATGCATTTAACCTCACCGCTGAGTATGGTCAAACCAGGAAGCATAGCATTCACATTGTACAGTATAGGAATTCCCGCTCGTTTACCATCAAAGTTGCTTTTTGCCCACCAGCTCGGCTGTGCTTAACTACTAGGAGGAAACACAAGCAACCTTGAAGGGGCCTAAAATCAAAAGCTTCATAGACCACCTGGCACTTCCCATTTTTTCCTTGATACAGATCTTCCAAAATATTCTACAATAAGGAGGGAACATAGTGATTCTAGCTAGGTTTCTACTCATGTTCTAAATAATATTTTTCACTTTCTACTGTACCGCAAGTCATTCTTGTTCTATAAGACTTCATTAAAAAGTAGATTTTATTGCAACAGCCTGTGTGCAAACAATGCCGTTTTATAGATTTTAAGTTAAATGATATCCACAAAGAGTAAAAAAAATAATTATAATAAACAGCTATGCCAATGTACAATAGAATTCATTACAGGGTGGGTTTCATTCAGACAGAGCCAGCTCAACCAGACACCCATAAAGGCTTTGGCAAGTCCCACAGAGCATGCCAATGGGAGGGTGACGAGCAGAAGAGCATGAAAGGTCCTCTATGCATTGAATTGCAGAGAACGGCTAATAATCTGCTACACCACCACTCTTCAAAGCCATGCATCTTTTCTACCAATAGTGAACTATATCCTTGCTGGTCTCCTGCACTGTGCTGGTATTAAAGGTAGGGAGCTGTTGATCCCCCTTTTTATATCTATTATTTGCATTAAAAAGGAGCTAAAGCCTTTTAAAGCTGTTTGCAACTTTCTGGACTGTTCAGTTTAATGGAGAGATTTCACATTACCTCTGAGGATGGCAGGTATCATAGCCAGCAGGAGAAACTCCAAACTTTAAAATGGCAGAGACCACTCTTTTTTATCTTTTAGACAGCAGAAATATTGCCAGTTTTCCCCCAGTCATTTGAGTCAGTTATTTTTGACTTTCAACACAAGAGCCCCTCATATTACAAAAATTTTCTATCGAACCACTTTATGTACACACTACAGATTCCAGCTCAGTAGAGTCAAAAAGTTAATCACTGGACACACTTCAGCCCAAAGAAATGTTTGATTTGTTGTGGACACAGGTTAAGAAAAGGTCACTATGTGCCCCAGGCCCTCGCCTCCCAGTTAGGCAACCCTCCACGTTTTCTAGCCCAGTCATTTCTCATCCAGACGGCAGTAGAGGTACATCGCCACAACCATGGCTGCAATCTGTGGAGGGAGAAAAAGAGGGCAAGAAACTTAGTATCCACTCCTTTAGATCTGCAATGCAAAATATGAAGGAAGAGAAAGGAGCCTAAATGTTCTCAACAATTCTTGGGTCCTTAAGCAGCCAGCCCTCTGTCAATAAAACTTTCAGTGCCTATTGCTCTTGCTGCTATTTTCTCAACCAAGAAAAGACATCAAGATGGTCCGAATTATACTCATTTGGTGTTCAAAGAATCAGCAAAGATATACAGGACTAGTTACCAAGATCACCGTCTGATAAAATATCTTGTAACCCTCAGTTTTCAAAGTTGTAGCCATGTTAGTTTGTGCAAGCGTTTCAATAAGAAACACAAAGCAAAGCAAGTGGGGGGAGATTTATGGCGCCTTAAACTCTGACCGCTATATTTCAATGTATGTTTTCAACTCAGACAGATGAGTCAGAATACAAAAACTACATGGTAAACATTCATGCAAGGCTCTAAGATAAAGGGACAGTAGTGTCTGGTTGCATTTCATACAGTACCTAGTAGTAATTCAATGGTATTCGGTTCTTTTGAAGCTTGGTTCTGTAATCAGCAACAATGACTAAAGGAAACAACATAGGAACATGTGATAATGTAGAGAATGATAGGTTTTTACCTTTGAGCTTTGTTCTGAAAAGGTGGGTCTGGTTAATTGGGAAGGAAATTAGCAATAGATAGCAACATAATTCTTACATTTGTTAATGGCTTAAATAATATTGGTTAATATTTGATCCATTGAAAACAGCTGAGATAAAATATACACATGCTGGAAACTCATCTCAATGGATTAAATATGAGCCAAGGTTTCTTAAGCCATTATCAAATATAATAATGTTCTTATGAACTGTTATTTTCCTTTCCAGCTACCTAAACCTACCTTTACAGAAAAATTGCTCCTTTTCTGTTTCCTTTAATCATTGCTTTAATCATTCACAGAAGCAAGCTTCAAAAAAAAAACTGAATACCAAACAGGGATCTTAAGTCATTTCTAGGTGCAAAATTCAACCAAACACCACAGTCACTTTATCTTAGAGCTTTGTATAAATGTTTTACCATGTTGCGTCTGTATTCTAACTCTTAAAGTCGGATGAAGTGCACATATTCCATGAAAGCCTACATTAAAATCCAGCAGTCTTTAAAGTGCCACAACATCTCTCTTTTTTCTTTTAATACTGAATACAGGTTAGTTTTAATAAAAAGTAGACTCTCTTTCTCATAATCATTAGGCCACAACAGTAAAATAGAAGCAGAATAGATGAGTTTTCAAAGAGTTCAGAAAGTTTCAGCAACATACAGTACCTCCAATGCACAAATCCCAGCAGCTACTCCACCCACTACACCGGCGTTCCTCCGTATTTCAGACAGTAATTGAGGAAAGCAGCCCTAGAGTGTGTTGTGGTTTTTTGTAAAGAAAAAAAAAGAAAAAAGTGAGTCATTTCCACAGAGTCTCCAATTGAACAAGAAATGAACAGGAGAAATAGATAACAGTCCTCATGAAATTCTGCCATGATCCTGCTGGCCCATCCTGGTTTCCACAAATTAAAACAGAAATCTAGCCATCTGGCAAACTAGGAATGTAGGTACTGAAGCATTTTTGACATGCAAAAACTGTGGATGTTTTGGGTGCCAGCAAGGGCCGGCAGCATCTCTGTTGGTAGCAGAAGATGGCAAAACAAGCTAAAGAGGCCCATTGTCCCCCAAACCATCCAAATGACACCTTGCCCTGGAGAGGCACAGGGGGAATAGGGACCATCCTGTCTGTCCTGAATGAGAACAGCCCCCAGTTGCTTCCACAAACTGGAGATACCAATCAACTGTAAAAATTGTAGCTGAATGAATTAAGCAGAGAGCCTCTACAGAGGACATCAACCCAGAAAGAAGCCAAGAGGCACAAGCCTATTATTACAGTACTTGTTTCAAACATCTATATCCTACTCTTGTTCAGAATCCTCAGGACAATTAATACAGTCCATTCTGGGCCAGTGATACAATTTCTTGACCAGAGCAGCCATTATTTTTGTAAGGTCATGAGACTTGTATAGTTGTTCCCCTCAACCCTAATATTTAGTTGTCCACACTCAAAATCTCATATGAATATAATCAGGGGAGAGGTCCAGATATGTCGACCAGACCAGATGGGCGGGATATAAATCAAATAAATAAATAAATAAAATGCTTTAATTGGCCTGGAATCCTCCAATGGCTCTCTAAAGCTAAAGGATTCAATTGGATCATCTCAAACTATACCCAGCTTTCTTTCCACTGTGAAAAGCACAGTCCGTAAAGCTGTTTTAGAACAAAACTACATGCTCTTGGGGGAAAACACCATATAATCTGCAACAGCTCCACAATATTAAGACCTACACTGATTCAAAATGGTGCCGCATCTTGTTCTTTCCTGCTCCAGATTTTACAGATCCATGGTGCTTTCAGGAGTTACCGGACTGCCCCCTTTTTCCTGCCGATCATTTGCCCACTCCTTTCCCACCTCCCCCATTTGCCACACCCTCACTTTCCCTCAACTGTAATCATATCTTTGATTTTTCCCCTCCTTCACTTCACTCCTCTGTTCACACATGCAGATGTGCAATTTTTAAAAAAAAAATACTGTAATTAAAATCACATATCTGAAGCTGTGCATAAAAACTTTCAAGAAAAAAAATAAGAAATGGTATTGTGGGGCATTCCTGTCATGTGACACGGTGCCCAGCCACCAACATGCCCATGGCAACAATGTGCACACCCATCCACACAGGATTAAAAGAGAGAGAAAAAAAGTGGTGCAACCTGAGCACGTATTAAAAAGTCATCTTGCACCTGTTTACAGCTAACCCACAGCAGATACTTTTTCTCTGGATTATTGCAAAGATAGAGTTCCACCCTGGACTAATTGGGAAAGAACAACATCCACATTTCAGAAGCAGCAAAATCCCTGTGGTGGTGAGGAATACCTTCCCCAATATGAAAGCAGAGTACAAGAATCAGCCCGGTTATTCCACAGAAAACTATGCTTCTTCACCCTCTTCCCCCTAAATAGATAGTAGCAAGTGGTGGGGGGGCACTGCTTTATCTTCTTACCGGTACATTGCTTTTTTCAGCAACAGTTGCACTGCAGGGATCACTGCTGTTGCAGCAGAATGGTGGATACATGCCTGAATGATGGGTCATGTAATAGGAATCATTGAAATCTGTGTAATTTGATAGACCGCAGCATTTCAGCTGAAGAAGAAAATATTAAGAATACAGAAGATGTAGCATTTGTTTCACTACAGAGTTTCATCTTACAGTCCTCAATGAAAACAGCACTCCAATGTTCTACCACAGATGCTTTTTCTATGAGGCAGATCAGAGTTACTCAGCAACTTACAGAACATCCCGTGCAATATTACTGACACTTTTCATTCAGAACATCTCAGGTTCAGTCCCTAGCATTTCCCTGTAGGGCTGTAAGTCCCCATGACCTAATCCCTGAAAAGTCCCTCCAATCAATATTGTCAATAGAAGAACCCATTGTGTGATTTAGGGAGCTGCCCTTCAAGTTCCTAACTATTATCCACTGGGGGGGGGGGGGGGAAACCCTTTCCTTTAAAAAAACATCACCACAAATGTATCAAGGTAAGGGCTGCTTGTATTAAGTACAGATAATGGGGTGTTGTTTCTTCTGGATACATCCCAATACAGGAAAGAACAGAAGGGCATCTGTCTGCCTTCCCATGAGAAGCCATGAGAGCAGGAACAACCCATAAGATCTCTCCCAATAACAGGTCAAATTTGTCTCTTACAATGTTTTCTAACCCCAAACTAGCTTTTTAATGATTTCCCACTCCCTCCAGGAAACAGCATGGGGAATGAGAGCCATAGTGCTTGCTTTCTGCCTTTGCTAAATAGGGCTGATGAGCAAGGTTGGTTACTTTAGGGAGAACGAACACCATGCCACACAATACAACAGGCTTTAATGCCTGGTTTTTAAAAACAGAGAAAAGCAACCCTGCATTTTACCTTCTACGGCTACCCATTCCTTCATTATGTTATTACAACTTTGCTGTTCTACCACAATCAGGCAAAGACTTTTCTCTTTGGACAAGCTTTTCCATAGTGACAGGCAGTCTGAGATACAGTTTTCAAACTAGATTGTTGTTCTCTGTTGTTTTTAAATGTGCTTTTAGTATTGATTCTATTTATTTTTCTAATATGATACTTGTTTAGTTCTTTTTAAAATATTGATATATTTACTGTTTTCAGCTTTTAAATATTGTCCTTTTGATGTTTTAAGCCCCCTTGGGTCCTTTTAAGGAGAAAGGTAGGGCAAAAATATTTTAAATAAATAAGTAAACAAACAAACAAACTGTCAGGCCAGATCATCAAGCTAACGATGAGGGTTTATGGTAAGTCACAGATAGGGTCTCCTGGCTTATCAGATACTGTAAGTGAAAAACTATCATGACCAGGCATGCGGAATCTCTTCCAGCCTCTTTAAGAGCTGGATTGACTTTCTGAGAGGTTGTCAGGGACGAGTGGGTGAGGGTCAAAATACTAGTATAATTTAACTTAAAGATTTTGTTGTCTATAACTAAGTCTTAAGAGAGGTATTTCAACTGATTTGAGTGAGGAAAACCTCATAGAACAGCTGAGGAACAATCAAACAATGGTGTCATTGGGAAATATGTAGCCTATCTGGAGAAGAATAATTTCCATTTGGAATTAAAGCCTTTGGAAACAGGCTTCTTGGACAACCCAGTTTACTCTTGGAAGTTGTGAGTAGTTCCCATTCTCCATGGATTTCAGCAAGATCTATCCTCCTGAAATGTTAAATTCATGATAAATTCCCCAATTCCCTCAGGAGTCCTAGTAGTAGACACTGGTTAGTTTCATCTGTTTAAGGCCTGCAGTAATTCGACATCTCATTTAGCCCTCCAAGTTGTTTTTCCAGCTTTGCCAATCAGAACTATGCAGACTGTAATAAAAGGCATAAATGTAACTGTGCCATCACCCCTGTTGATATTGCTTAGGCCACTAGGGATCTAGACCAAAATGGCTATTTGATTATAGTTTGACTTCTACAGAAAACCTGTCTATATTGCTTTATTATGTTGCATACCCCTAATATGCTCTACTGGCCAACTTACATCCTTCATTGTGGTATCCCATACAGTAGTAACATCAGAAGTCTTGTTATACTGAGTTTTCAGTAGCTGTACCACAGTTCCTTGCAAAATAATCTCTGCCTGGAAGGAAAGAGCATAAGTAGTGTTATCAGAACCAACTGGGAAGTTGATAACTGAAGATTCAATACTATATTATTATTTTCACTGCCTCTATTCTGCCTCTCCCCATGCCGTGAGGAGGAGGAAGAGGTGCCGCCATCCACCATGCGGCAAGGGAGCAGCCCGGGTAGGTGGGACTCATCAGCCATGGAAGGCAGCCCATCTAGGAGAAGGAAAACTCCAATTTCAAACCTCCACTGCGTTGTGGCTATATCCACTGATGGAAAAGCCTTCAGGAGTTAACCTCAAGGCAAAATCCGGAGCCGGAGTCCCGGAGGCAGTTCCTGTAGTTCTGTCAACTCCTGCGACGTCGCTGGAACCAGTTATATTGGCTCTTGCCTTTCCATTGGACTATTCCAGTGATGGGGAGAGGGGGGATTTGCTGCTTGGGTAACAGCCTATCTTCCATATTATTTTACCCAGGCTTCGGGCTCTGGAAAGGCCACTCCAGCTTCGCATACAGCATCAAAGCCTCCATACAGAGCACGTTACCATTGTCTCTCAAAATTGAAGGATGCCTATGACCATTCTGTTGGAATCTTCTCCCCTCCCCAACCCTTCACTCCATCCTGCAAATGCTCTGCTGATAGAAACCATCAGGAGGTTTGGAAGCTTCACAATTCTGTTTGTATTATTGTCATGCTTAGAAACATAATAACTTTCCACTCACACATGTGATCCTTTTGATAAAATGAGGCCCACCAAAAATACAAAAATGGAGTAGGGGCATGATAAAAAATGGTTGCTTTGTGATATTTCGTTTGTTCTTCAGGCACAAGGTTTAAACGGGGGGGGGGGAGAGAGACGTATACACAAAATTGTAGTTTCAAAAACAAAGCTCTACTATTGTGGCAAATTCAGGCTCTCCTGTGCTCTCATGGATAGCCACTCCCTTTGTCAAGAACACACAGCAATTGTAACATGGCATTTACTGCAACAATCAGGAAGTTAAAAAGGCCACCTTTATGGTGACAAATGAGGCTGAAGAGCAAACATAAAATAGCTGCCACTTTTCTTTTGTCCCAATCTAATAAACCTTTTGATTGGATGTTGGCAGCAGCAACGAAGAATTTGACCCTTACACAGGTTATATATAACTCTTTAAGAAAATGTAACCAGTTCCATCATATAAATGGAAGCATGTCCTATCTTTCATAGCAAAGAGGGAATAATATGTACAGTATCTCAGATGCATAGCACATTGTTATACACCTTTACAGTGAATTCAGCAAAAACAAACAAACAGATCCTATTTTACATCTTCAGATGCTCTGAACTCAAATTCATCTCTCACAAAGAGGCTTATTTTGAATAGTCCAGCCAGCATGGGAGAAAACATGGCAGAAGGAACAAAAGAAGGGAGAGGAGATTATTCAGCTGTTAGCCAGATTCTGCTACCCTCCATTTTGTACATGAATATGGCCATACAGTCATGTCTAGTTCAGCGTTTAGGTGTGGGTCAGAACTAGGCCACATGGTAAAGTCAAAACATTTATTTCCAAAAACGTAGTACTTTAGGCAGAAATTTAAACTACCCTCTACCTTCTAATGGATAAACTATTTTTTTCTCCCAACCTCTAGCTCCACAGCCAGATACCTAAACCACTGAGCTATTCAGCAGTTCTTGGTTTGTAGATGAAGAAATTCCTTTTACAAGGATATATATCTTGATCTATACTTGTAGAGATTCTCTACTATATAGATTTCTTCCTAATAAAAGTACATTATTCTAATGAAATAAAAATAATTCAAAATATTACAAAGTCAGTTTATGTCAGTGGTAGAAGTCTGTTGATCAGAGGCAGAGAACTGTTGTCTTAATATCTGCTTTGAGAATCTTAGACAACTATATCAAATGCCTCCAGCAAGGCCAGCCCAAGGCATTTTGCTGTCTGAGGCGAAGTACAATTGGCACCTCTCCTTCCATACCCAGAGGCTATGTGAAAATAGAAGTTGAATCTTATTTCACCTCTAGCAACAGAGACCAAGGGACTGGCTTAGAGGGGGCAGGAAGGCTGCATGGCACACAAAAATATGTCCACATGCCACTGCTCTGTGCCCTCCCTTCCCCATATCTGCTACCAGATGCAGCTATAGTAAGGCCAGCTCTGCCTCTAAATAGCCAGTAGTTGAAACTTCTCCTGCCAAAGACAGCTATTTTAAGGGTGCTTATAGACCGAGAGTTCCTTGTGTTACCAATCAAAGTACATTTTGCCTCCTTACATTTTTTTTTAATAATAAGGTTGAAAAGGGATTAGGTGAAGGAGAAATATGGGAGAGTCTCAATTCCATGAAGGAGGCAGGGTGGCTGCACAATAGATGTCTCCCTTGGAAGCAGCTTAGGCAACCTCTCCCAAGTGCATCCCTTCTACTCCATGTTACTTACAAGTGATGTGTAGACCAAGGCCACCACAGCAGCAGCAACTTCAATGATGAAAATGATCAGGACAATTGAGAAGAACTAGGAAGAGAGCGAGAGAGAAAGAGGACAGTGTCAGATTGCTCACTCTGCAAAGCATCAATGCAAAACTAAGGCAAACACTACAGTACTTGTTTATACTTGGGTCAAGTATAATCTGCAACTATGCTTCCGACTTTGGCAGAAAAGCTGGTTGCAAGACTAACTATCAGCCTTCATCAAGTTGCAAGTAAGAAGAAGGGGGAGTGGCAACATCGTATTCTAGCAGTGATTTTCCATAAGCCCACCAGCCAAGGATTTCCTTATCTCATGGGTCATGGCACAGTCCGAACTGTTTCACAGGAAAGAATCAAGCTTTTTTTTTTTCAGTTCTGCTTTCCCTGACGTCTTGTTCTTACCTGAATTACTAGATCTTTCAGCACACCAGGAAGACATTTTCATCTCACACCATAAGCTTAAATAAAATCTATTTACTCATTCCTTAGTGAATTAATACAAACCTGTTTCTTCTTGGCAGCTAGAAGAAAGAAGGGAGATTGAGAGACAGAGCGCAACTTCTAATATCTGTGCATAGCGGGCGGGGACAAACAGCCATAGCTGCAGCCACACAATTTTAAAGCAAGCAGGAAAGTGTAGCTTTCATTGCTAGTAAGTCACCAAAATGGGACGCAAGATGAGCATTTATCAGGAATACTTGAAAGTATTTGTCTTCATCCCACATCAGCCTAGCTTCCTCATACCTGGCTCAGGATGAAGGAATTACAGTGTGACAGATATATATTTATGGTGTCAGACTAGGACTACATAGCAAAAATGAAAAGAAAACTAAACAAGTGTTGTGGCATAATGGAGTCTAACTGATTTAGTTCAGTGTGTACTGTCACAGATTATGACCTGGTTCTTCAAAAAGAGGGAGCACAATTGCTACTATAGCAAGACTGTGTAGATGCACTCAGAGAGATGAAAACAGCTTCATATTTGAGTTTTACCATGATCAGAAGGCACTTGCTCTCTTTTTGAGCTCCACAGCATCCCAGGAAGCCCAACACAAACAGGACAGCTCCGATGGCAATGAGAAGGTAGCCCACATTGACAAACTGCATGACGCTGGTGGACAAAGGGCCAAATATGTTCAGGAAGGAGCCACTGTCAACAGAGACCCAGATTCCAATGCCCAGCAATACTCCTCCACCAATCTAGAAGAGAACAGAGAACAATTATTTCTAGTATTGGGAACAAAGATCCATACTAAGTACACTTTAACTCAGGCCTGCCTAATGTGTGACCCATCCAGTAGTACACAAACCAGTATGATCCACATTGTGCCAGGCAGGCACTTAATAGCTTCCCTTCCTGCCTGGCTTTTTGTAGTTCTGGGGAAGCAAGAGGAAGCCTTGAAGCATCTCTCACAAAGGAGGGAGATTCCTTTCCCAAAACAATCACCATGTATTTCAATATTCCATGACTGACAATGAGATCAAATGATTGCTTGTATCACTCATGCATTCAAGGATAAAAAGCAGCTGTAGATCAGGAATTTTAGTTTAGTGAAAAGGTACTGACAAAATGTTCTTCTTGCCCCAGCATTCTAGTATTCCATGAGGACATGCGTGCTGTAAATATATTTATCCTAAAACTGAGGCCTAAATCCAGTCTGAAATATAGCAGATCCAGCCTTTACAGTAGATCAGGAATTTTAGTTTAGTGAAAAGATACTGACAAAATGTTCTTCTTGCCACAGCATTCTAGTATTCCATGCGGACATGCGTGCTGTAAACATATTTCTCCTAAAATTGAGGCCTTAATCCAGTCTGAAATACAGCAGATCCACTGAATCAGTAGCCTTTACCCAAATGTTGATTTACCATTCAACTGTTGATTCAACAGGTCTACTCTAATTGGGACTAGCAACTGCATTTAGTTCAGAACAACCTTGATTCTTGATTATTTCTAATTGCATCTTCTTATTTCTAATGAACAGCAAGGCCAAATTACAGGTATTTCTTTGTCTTTATGCCAAGTGTTTCCCGGTTTCTAGAATTCAAACAGATACATTTTATCTCAAGGATCCAGCAAAAGAGGACATAACAAACAAAACAAAACACATCCTTTGGTTTTGTCTACACCAGGAATCTACACACACCTGTCTGTTCCTGTAGACAAAATGCAAAAGCTACATCATCATTTCCATGCATCATGCAAATTTATGATACTTGCAAAGAAAGAGAGATCCACCGCATCAGTGAATGGGGATGAAGCCCAACTGTGCAGATACACAGAAGGGACTGTTATTTACTAGGAAAAGCGAGTAAAGCCATCCTCCGAACAATCATCAAATGTTACAACAATGTTCTTGAAAATTTATGATACTTGCAAAGAAAGAGAGATCCACTGCATCAGTGAATCGGGATGAAGCCCAACTGTGTAGATACACAGAAGGGACTGTTATTAGGAAAAGCAAGTAAAGCCATCCTCTTAACAATCATCAAATGTTGCAACAGTGTTCTCATAAACCGAGCCTCATGTGGTGGACTCACACATTTTATGTTTCAATTTCATTTTCTGAATCCAGAAGGGCTGGTTAATTGCTATTTATCACACAATAAAGAAATAATGTTCAGTACAGATTATTTTATTCAGGCTCAAACCTTTCACACTGAATAGAAATTGTACTGTCATGCCTACAGTCATATATACAACTACAAAACACTCCAAAGAGCGTTTTGATCTACTTGATATCAGTTACAGGTATCTTTTTCATTCCGGTGACAGATTATCTGATTTTTCTTGTAGCTGTTTTCCAGTAACAGCTCTTAAATAGTTAGATCTATTGCTGTGCACTCCTGCCTCATGGCGTAATTCTACAGTACCTCCTACATAGATTATTCCCATTTCTAATTCAACATCCTCTTACGAAGAACTACATTTCTCTCAGGGACACACACATATACAAAATAAGTCTTCCAGATGGAAAAATGGATATCTGCTCTCTAACTCTCTAACAAACAATTTTGGTTCTATCACAGTTGTTGTTTTTATTTAGGAAAGAAATCTAACCTATTCCAACATTACCAATGAGCCAGGGTAGTTCTTGGGTGATGAGGATACAAGATGGAAAACTCTTGTGCTGGAAAACTCTCATTCAAATAAGTGCTATCTTTCAGGACATGGTAGGTGCCACAAGTATGTTATTACAAAATTGAACTGAAAACTAGATTCTCGTATAAATAAGACATTATTCCAGAAGGTCAGAATAATAATGCCTGACCACACCTTTGTGTTCAGTCATTGAACCTGCTAAAAACTGGGAGTAAGCAAGAGAAGATGATGGTGTAATGTTAGATATACCACCTCTGAAACCTTTAACTTGCCATTGTCAAGAATAGAATGTTGAAATAAAAGGGTTGCACTTTTAGACCTGCAATGGAGCACTTTAACAGTGGCCATTTACCTGGAAATAAATCTCTACGAATTGAGTTTATTTTTAATAGATGTTATGAGTTTCTAAGCAGCTGTTCAGAAAACTAAGTTTCAAAAAATACAGGTTCTCATATGTACACAAGGTATACTTTATCATACATTCCTCTACTGCACATTAAGAGCGATAGGAGCAGCAGGAAAATGACAGAGTACTAAAACTAGAAGGACATGATTTAAACCTAGGAAGGCATGCTTTCCTATGGTATCAAAAAAAGCAAAGGACAATAAACAATGTAAGAACCATCTGATCAGGAAAGCTTTGAACTGGGTATGGACTAAGATCCAGGAAGAAAATTACTAGAAAGTTCCTGAATGGGTCTCACCAATGGAAACTTTCTCACAACCAACATTAATGGAAAAGAAGAAACTCTTGAAATATAGAGATTTGTTAAAAGAGTACTTAAGTATGAAATCGAGGAAACAATTAGAAGAACAAGGTATAAGATTTGATTGGTGGACAAAAACACAAATACTGTAGATTCCAGGTACACAAGAGGGTAAATAGAGATAAAACATAGGCTTTTGTTAGGAACAGACATCATTAGATAAGGTACTTCTGAATGTGAAGGAAAAACTGATCAAAATGTTGTATAATTATTTACTAGAATTGAAAACACAATATGAAATAATTAAAGAATGTATGATAAAATGGGCCCAAAATGTGGGCCACAGTATTAACTTGAAGTCATGGTCACAAATATGGGGAAACAATATTAAGTTAACAAAAACAGTTAATTATAAAGGAAATATATATAAGATGTTCTACAGATGGCATATGACATCTAAAAAGTATCAAAAATATATCAGAATACCTCTAACAAATGTTAGAAATGCAAATTAAAAGAAGGTAGTTTTTATCATATGTGGTGGACTTGTCGGGAAGTTAAAAGCTTTTGGAAACTAGTACATGAGATTTTACCAAAAAATGTAATTTTGTACCATTCCATATGAACCTAAACTATTTTGTTGAATATTATATCAGACTAGATAGATAGATAGATAGATAGATGTTATCTTGTACAATTCCATATGAACCTGAACTGTTTTTGTTGCATATAGTACCAGATTCAATAGAAAAAGAAAAGATACTTGATCATAGGTGTAGCTACAGCAGCAAGAATTTTATATGTAAAATACTGGAAAAAAGGAGACACCAACAATCCAGGAGTTAATAGAAAAAGTTTTGAAGCAGCAGAGATAGATATTTAAGTGAATGAAGTATCAAAGGACAAAGAAATTCTTGGGGCTACAAAAAAATCGGAACCTTTGTTTAATTGGATAAGATGAGAATATGAATGGGTTAAGATTATAAGAAAACATAAGATATAATAGTAGATCTTAAAGGTTTAGAAAAAAATTGGCAAGATTAGTGTGGAGTAAGCTTAGCAAGAAAGCATACAGGTAAAAGTAATAATGATATATACTGTTCTCTACCACATTCTGTATTGTTTTTATTTACCCCAGTACCTTGTTCCAAACCCCCTTCCCTATGTTCTTCCCTGACCCAATGGAAAATGAATATTTAAAAGAAGAATAAGAAGCATAGGAGCAGCAGCATCTTTTGCCACTGACCATCCTAATGTATGATTTCCATCACTTTGATATTCACTGTGAATGTCACAGCTTTTGTCAAACTTCCCTTCTTCTGTTGACAACAAAGATGAACTGCTCTCCTAAGGTCACTTGGAATTCATCTGTTTTGGACACCAGTTCTTTGAAGAACATGGGATTTTGTTTTGCTTTGCCTTTGGGGGGGCAGGGAAGGACATTATAGCTATTTTTGGCAGCTGCTGATCTCATCTTATGAGAGCAAAGGCTCACTGCCTTTCCATCATTAAGAAATCAACTCTTTTTTGACACAAACTCTTTGAACAAAAAAAACACACGACACAAAAAGAGAACACAATGTTTCCCAAGAAATTTTCACATTCCTACCATGATGTAGGCATTTATTCAAGTTGTAAAAATGAGAAATGGAACTGTAACATTATGATGTTGTGAAACATCAGCCGTGTTCTCATCATAAGGTACTTATGTACCTTAGTACAAAACTAAACGTATTCCAAAGTGGCATGTGCAAAAGGCGTTGATGTTTTGTTTGATTTTTCTTTTTACCACCTTGTATGTTGCCTGTAGTTAGTTTGGCTGGGAGGGATCCACCACTAACTAATTGTTCCTTCCCTGCTTCTGAATTCAAAGAGAGCCCAATGCTATTATAAGACATTATTTGGATTGGGAAGTCTTGGTGCTTCTGATGGATTACCAGTTCTTGTGAGGAATTGGAAGAATGAAGTCATAAGAAAGAAACAGGAGAAGGGGAGCTGTATGGAAACAAATAGTATGGATTTATTTTTGTTTTCCATCTTGAACGATTATTTATTTTATTTTTGGATGCTGATATTATTTTAATTGTTTTTGTTGTGTTTGATGTATGCCGCCCAGAGTAGTCGAAATGACTAGATGGGCGGAATAGAAATGTAATTAATAATTATTATTATTAATTACAATAACAACAACAATAACAAAACATGTGGAAGAGTCACTGAGCTGCAGGGTGTGGAGCAGTTCCCATTGGAAACATACTCACAGGGAAATGTCACTCCAAAAGAGTGACCCACAAACAGCACAAAACAACATGATACAAGGGCCCACATGAGCTGACTGTGCACCAGTGAAAACTGGAGCAATACAATTATAGGCCCCTTCCAACACCATTATTTTAGGATTCAATTATTCTAATTTCGGCCCTGCACCATGCGGACACTGGGGTGCACTACTGGTATCTTGGATGCAAGGAAAGTAGAACAAATGACCAGTGTCACTGGGAAAAGTATTGGTGTCATGGGTTCAAAGACAGGTCAATGTAAAAGAGCTCAGAGAAAAGTCCTGATAACAGTACAAGTGCTTATAAATGTCCCAAAAGCTGTTTACCAGAAGCTACCGAGAGTTTCAACTCAGACTCACTTTTATTTTAAAACATGAACAATGCTCACGGTATCATGCAGAAAGCATTCCTAACAGGGTCAGAGCAATTATCCTTGACCACAGGTGCTAGCTTTGTTTGCCTTCAAATAAAACTGACAGGGGGGGAGTGCTACAGCACACATTTAAGTACAGGTGCCAAGCTGGAGACATGAGCGTCTATTGGGGTAGGGGTGGGGAACATGAGCCCTATTCTCAGCTTTCTTCCTTCAACTTTTTTTTAAGTAAGCCTCAAGCCCTTGAAGAAGTTCAACTATGAGCCCATTTGTTTTGTGAAAACGCAACCAGTTTCTACTATGGCGTTTTTAGACAATGCAAGTTATCATGGCAACGCCTAACACACCCATTATATAGAGGGAGAATTTGCAGCATTATTTGAAAGCTTTTCCATGACCTTTATGAGAGAGAACAGGTTGTTCTTCCTGGTTGAAAAGCTGTCTCTGGCCCATATAAAACTATTCAGAAATCCAGGATTTTAGTATATTTTGGGTAGACACGGTCTTTACTGCCCTAACAGAAAGGAACAACAGAGACAATAATTTATCTAATTTTTTTTCACCAAGGCTTTATTTTGTAAAAATGTGTTCTCATCCTAAGTTTTATAAACATTTTAAATAATGACCTTGGTAGTGGATATAGAAACCATCACCACTACACTTATATTGAAGAGACTTGGGCTGTGGTTGAACAAGCGATTGTCCTGGACTTGTAAATTATTTTACTACTGATATCTCTATTTTGCTGATGTGATTAGCATATGGCAACCCTGCTGTCTTTAGTACTCCTGTTGTTACCTGTTCTCCATGCATATATATTTTTTAAAAAAATCACATGGGAAGCAGGTTCCACAATTGCCTGCAGAAGCAGTACACTTAATTAAGGTGAAGGGAGGTAGGCAATCATTGAAAAGTCAGGCTGCAGATCGAAAGACAATGTCCAGCAAATAGGTTTATTCCCTGAGAAACAATGTAATGGAATGTGTCTCCAAGCAATAAAGTTTGCTTGTGCACAGAAGGAAAACACATAGGCAAATAGTACTAACAGGGACGATGCAAACAGAACTGTCCAGTGCAGAATTTTCTTTTACTTACAGTACCCTCCAAAATTCCTGGTGACGGAAATGACAAGCGCATATCCAGTGGCAAAGGGAAGATTCAAGTCATTCCCACAGCACACACCCCTTTTCCCTCAAAAGACTAATTAACAGTCTGTTGCATATTAAGTCATGGCTACCTTTCCTCCCCAGCCACCATTTTGGAAATGACTCTATATAAAGAGTCAATGTGATGTAAAGGTAAGAATATTGAACTAGGAAGATCTAAGTTCTACTTTTTGTACTGTCTCAGCCTAGCCTACCCTATAGGGTTGTTGTGGGGATAAAAGGTTGAGGACAGGGAAGAACAAAAAAACCAGCAGGAAGAACAGAGTTCAGATTTCTCTAGTGCACAGAGTACAAAGAGGATGAGATGAGGCAAAGACTAAACATTCCCTAACACAATAAAAGATTTCCCTTCAAGCATTTGCTCCTTCATGGGGTGTGTGTGTGTGTGTGCGTGTGCGTGCATCCCCGAATATCTGAATCAAAGTGAGCCACAAGCGAAGGGGTGGGGGAGCACTCGCGCTGGTGCTGGTGGGCACGTGCACGCTCCCCCGCCGCATCACACATGCACCCAAGAGCACACCCGCGCAGGCGTGGGGGGGTGCCCTGCCTTCCTCAGAGGCTCAGCCGGTCCACAGTCCCAAAAACGTTGGGGACCGCTGCCATAAGGTACTAAAAAGGAGTACTAAAGACATTGCAACATTAGCACACGATTATATCCCTTTTCTTTTACTTTTCCTGTCTGTCTTCAGTCAATAATCTTCCTCCAGGAAACTGAAATCCATTTTAAAAATTCAAGTTCATTCCAATAGAACTGAAAATCCCTAAGCTTAGGAATGCTGACTGTGAATCATGCTAACATGACATTGCAAATTTCTATATCTACCCGAACGCATGTTCACATGTTTTAAGTGTATGTAGCTTACAGAGTTTAGGATCAACCTTTCTCACATATTTAGACTTCAACACCCCTGGTCAAGGATGGTCAAGGATGACAGATAAGAGGACAAAATATCCAGAGGGCACTGAGTTGGGGAATAAGGCTAGATTTTCAACAGCTTCCTTGATAGTGTTCTGACTTTGCCACCCTCAGCATAAGTTCAACAGCCATACCAGGCACTTTCTTCAACTAGATAGCCAGAGTGCTTTAACAAATGATGTACAACCTATTAGCAGATTTTTTTTCCCATTCAGGATATATTTTTTGAAAAAGAGTTCACTCAAGCTCTTATACAAGATATCCTTGAATGTATCAAAATGGAGGAATCAACATATTATGTAGCTGTCCTGGTTACTGAAACGTTAGCAGAGCAAGCATGAAACCAAACGCAATACCACAGAAACCAAAAAACCCACTCAGCCAGTCCAAGAGGAACATAAATACATTTTAATGAATACTTTGCTTGCATCACAATTGCTTACAATTTAAACAACGGCATTTTGTGGGCCTGGCCTGCCTTTGCATGAAGACACACCCAGAGTCATAATAAATTCAACAGAATCTTGTGACACTCCTTCTATTTGTTTCACAGGTGTGGCAGCTCCAGAAAGCAACTGAATCACAGAAAAAGGTCTCTGTAGGGTCACATATTGACCATAATTCTATTGCACAACTGTGTGTATGCACGTTAAGATAGCATATGTGGTAACTTCACTACAGGGTTGAAATGCTATCCCCAAAGTATTTCCACTTGTACGTTGTACAATTGGTCATACTAGGTGTGCACAACTGATTGCACAATTCAATAGTACAATTCTTTGTTGTCGGGCTTAACACATGGCACATTTACGCTGGCATAATTTTATATTACATCAGCACAAACATCCTACTGGCCACTGTGTTTTCCAATAAATATATTAATCTCTCGTAGACATATAATGTTTCTAGTTAATTTTTTTTGTAATCTTCTAGTAGTGTTAACAGTTTGTAAGAATTCAGTCAGAAAAAATTATTGTAACACAAAGTGGATTGCTAAATAAACACATATCTTATCATAAATATGCATTCCATTAATACACTGTATGTATATAGTTAACACCATGCTAAGAATCATACTAAACTTACTTTCCATTTATAAGAGCCATTCAATCTGTCCTTGAATTTGGACAATCCTAGGTATGTTTACCTATAAAGAAGTATGCTTGGCATTGCAGCCTACATTTCATTCTGTCTCATCTTGACTGAACATTCAGATCCAAGCTCTTCAGCAGAGTCACATTATCTCCAAAAAAAGAGCTTAACATGGACTATGTTCCACACTCAGCCATACATTTGCAAGGACAATATTTACCTCATTCGCTCATCAACACAGAAATAAGGTAAGTACTTACCACTATGGTCAAGTTAAACAAGACCATCATGACCTTCAAAAAAGTGAAGCAACTCATCTTGGTATCTGTAAAGAATGTAAGGAGATTGTTTTAAAAAGGCCACTCAAGATACTTTAGACAGCTATACACAACTCACATTCTAGACTTGGAGCAACAAGTTCAAGTTTATGGCCTGGTCTATTAGAGGCTTACTAGTAAGGATTATTATAAAATGTTGTAACTTCATTTCTAATAAGCCTGCTTTGGATTGCACCCTGAGGTTCTTGGGCAAGATTCCTATCACTTGTAATGTTGCATCGGAGAGAGGAAACAAGATATGCGCTTAAGGAAGCAGCTATACAAATCATCCTGAAACAAAGTGGTTCCCCTAACAAAAATTCAAATTATTTTCTGCCTTCAACCAAGTATTTTTTTACATGATTGATGTTTTAAGGAACACCCTACTCCATATTATATACAGTTAGAGAGACATTTTACTTTTTTATAAAAGAAAAAAAGGAGGTTGTCGCCTTCATCCATTTCTGTGTCTTCTATTCCACAGTAGGGTTCAACAGTCACGGTCCCAATAGTTTCAAGAGTAAGGAACAGCTGAAAGCCACTACTAGCAACAGCTTTTTAGACAGTAAAATATGGAGCCCCAAGACCCTCATCACCACTTGATAGTCATCATCACCAGTACTTGTTATTCCAGATCAACATAAACAGCCTGGAACCTTAATGTACATTATTGTGAAACATTACAGCTGAAATGCGAATAGTAACTGTGTGCTGTCAAGTCAATTCTGATGAATGATGAGCCTTCTCGGGGGTTTCTAGGTATGAAGAGCTTGGAAGTGGATTACTGATCCCACCTTTGGGTGGCACTTTGGGGACTATACAGCTTGCCCACCACTGCTCGGTGGCAAGGAATATAACTCCATTAGCCACACAAACACCATCTAATATGGGAGGCACTGTGGAATTTAAACTGCTGCTGCTTGGCTTCACAGACAGGTGCTTGAAACCCTTAGCAATACAGTTTACAGATCAAAAGTGGTATAGAAATACTGAAGGGTAACATAAAAATAATTAAAACCCTTTATAGGGTCTGTCCCCTTCCCCCGAAAATTTCAATGAAAAAGAACAGGGTAGCTACCATTCACAAACAAGTTTTCCTATTTTAAATAAAAAGACATGAAACAACTTAGTGCCTGAACACTTAGAAAACAAACATTTAAAGCCTAGTTATAAGGTATCTGATAGAATGAGCTATAATCCATAAAATCTCATATTATAATATATTTCTTAAGTCTTTAAGGTGTATTAGGACTCTGTTGTTTAAATTCTATATCAGCCCCCTTCCTTAATGAAGGAAGAATTTTGACAGATGAGTACCCCACTTTGTCAACGTAAAAGACTCACCTTAATAGGGAACAGACTACTCCAGAAACAACCTGAATAGTTCTTACAATGTTTCCAGTTTGCAGGCAGTCTGCTTCTTAAGTAAACCAAAGCTGATGTCCTTATAGCCTATAAGAAGCATCCTCTGTTCAGACCAATCAAATCTCTTTTAGGGCATAGCCACACCTCACCAACCTAATTTCAATAAGGGAGAAAAACTATAGGAACTATAAACTTCTTTTCTTTATTCTTTACTGCTCTCTACTGGATACAGGTGAATCTTCATTCACAAAAAAGGTATCACTTCCTGCATTTAATTCTGAGCAGCACATGAAAGTAACTCTTTACAATGCCTGCTAGTCATGTATTATTTTTCACAGTAAGCTTCCAACTACATTGTAAAATACTTTGCAATTTGCTCCAAAATTGGCACAGATGACTTCAAAGTATTTTTCTGTGATCACATGATGTAAAAGTTAGTGTGAATCAGCTTGTATTCCCCCTCTTCCAATCCAGACATTTCCCCTGCCCCTGCCGCTTCTACTTCTACTTCTACTTTTTCTGATCACAACAATTTGAACAGTGTTTTGCTTGTTTTGTTATACAAAAGGATCAGAAGAGCATGATTCTGGTTTCCGGTGATGTAGTAAATAGGGGTGTGATGTTTTGGCTACAGTGAGAACACCCACCAACCCACAACCTATCTCTCTGGTCCCTCCCCAAAGTATTTTTGTTTATTCTTTAAAAAACAAACTACTGACCTAGATCACCTCCCCACAGACAAAAGGAAAAAAAGAGATACAAATATATAAAATCAAAAAACAATTCCAACGAACTCCAGCAGATTACACTGCTTCCATGGCGTGTGTGTGTGTGTGTGTGTGTGTGTCTGTGTCTGTGTGTAGAGATATCTTCAGAAAACTATCATGACTGGCACTGAAGGGAGCATTTCACAAATCAGAGTCTGTGACAATGCAGCAAAAGCTCGTCAGAGAGTAAGTAAAGGTTTTGTTGGATCACAAGGTACAGCAGTAAAAGGACTTGCCAAGTGACAATGAGGTTATTGTTATCATAGCACAATGTTTCTGTTCACTGCTCATTTTTGCTTTTGCCTGATTTCAACCCACGTGTATTTATCTGTTTAGAAACCTTTATGTATGCTTGTTTATGAGAGAAGGTAGCTAGCAAAATACATCTTGCAAAGCAATTGTATATACATATCTGGCCAGATATGGACTGAAATCTGAGAAAGGGCAGTGCAACAACATTCACCAGTGATGGCAATTTGAGGCCTCCTCCTATAGGTCACATTTATTGGGAGAGGCCCTAATGAGGCAACGATAAAGCACAGTGTTTTCCCAAAAAGGGTTCTAGTTCTAGTCCCGGGCACCTCCAGTATTTATGAGGATCAGCTGATAGGAAAGACCTTTGTCTAAGACCCTAGAAAGCTGCTGTCACTCAGAATAGATACTGCTGGTCCAGATAGACTGCTTCTAAAGGTTCTCAACCAGATCCCCTGATGCAGCAAAAACAAAATGATTTGTAAGACCCTAAAGGCAAATCAGGTTTACTTGATACAAGCTTTCATGGACTTCAAACCTGCTCTTCAGACGCATTTCTGGAAATGCTTGGAAATCCCTCAAGTGACCCAAAATCCATTTATCTGACATTATAAAGTACCTTCTTTTCCCGCTGGTTTCACAGGTGGCTGAGGTTTGCTTTGGTTTCATCTTCTGCTCGTCAAGGATGAGCAGACTATTGTGTACTGTACAGGTTTCTCGGACTTTTGAGGAAAAATCAGTTTCAATGGAGAAACAGAAGAGTCAGCTGTCCTTGACCCAATGCTCTTCTCATGATTTGGGCTATAAATCCCATACAACCCCAGTCAGTCAAGTGACTGAGTTATAAATCCAAGTCACTTGAGGGATTGGCAGCAAAACTTTGTGCACACTGCAAGGACTGCACCTGGGTGTTTTTTTTTTCCTCTGTCCAAAAGTACCTTCCTATTTCCTACATCTGTAATTGCTGGGTGCCACAGCAACTGCTGGACAAGCAAAAAGTGACTGGTACAATGCCTGGACGGACCCTAGAAACACAGGCTATAGTTTATGTGGTTAAGGGAGCACTGTACAGGAGTGCAAGTTATTTCCTTGGCTTCCACATTAGAGGATAAAGGGCCCTTCAGCACATCTGTTCAAATATGCTTCTTTCCATTTCATTAATGCAGTGGATCGCTTTCTATTTTGCAAAAGTCCTAAATTTACAGGAAGCAGAGAAATGATGTTGCAGCTTTTCCCTTTTGTTAGAAAAACAGTGCCAATGCAGGAATTATGTATCCCTGCTTGTACAACATAGACAAAATCAAAGGGTTCTGTTGGATCCTTGAGATAACATGTATATGCTTGAACTGTTGAAACCAGTAAACAGCACATTTTGGAACAAAACCTAACCAAGCAGGAACCTGTTTCAGCCTCTCATCTGAATGTGGCCTGGAATTGCTTTTCCTTCCAAAGAGAAGTGGCCAGCTTAAGCACACTTGTTTAAACACATGAATAATGTTGTATGTAATTTGGGCAATGCATTCTGCATTTAAGCTTCAAACGTCTCAGCCAGGAAATTCCTCAGGTAAGAGTGAGACATATTTTCTTAAGCATGAGGTGCCTCTCCTTCCTTTCACAAGTTAGCTGTGGCTGTGGTCGCACCAGAGAAATGTCCCCCTTTGGTAACAAGACTTTTCATCCCTTTCTTGTTATGCTTCGTCAACATGTGATATATATACCTGATGAGCATCCCAATGTGATTAAATGTTACCAGTTCATTTCCTTCAGTTTGAATCATTATGCCCAGCTACACCATGATAGTGATTCATTTTATCTCCTGTTTTATGGGGCACTGAATCCCCTCAACTTTAATTTTTTTAAAAAAATTAAATGATACACTGATGTGTCAGGAAGAGTTTCCTGATGAGTAGAATTACCTCTGTTGTACAGGAAGCAATGCATTGCACTCAGTGAACCCGGCACCACCACCACCACCTCACTAGCACTGTGCTGCTTGCCAGACAGTAGGTGAAGTACTTGTGCTTTAAACTCATTAACAGAAGTTTGCCAATGCATCGATACTCTGGTGGCAGAAAAATCAAAAGAGAGATAAATATAGAAGGGTAGCTATGAGGCAGTAACGGCAGCCCTTTCCCTGGTGAATTTGCTTCAAAAAAGTATAAATAGAATCATACATACATGCTATATTACTAAGGAATACATTGTAAACTCGCAAAACTATTGTCATTTGTTTTGCGAGAATCACTGTCTTGCGAAAAAATCGTCTTGTGAGGTTCCCTATGGGAACTTCGCAAGACGAATGAAATTTATTCGTCTTGCGAGGCATCGGTCTTGAAAACAAAAGTCTTGCAAAGCATGTATATCTAAATGCCATTGGACCAAAAATAGTAGAAGTCCCCCAGTGAGGGGGAAATGTTCCACAGTTACGCCAGTGGCCAGTACAATGATTTACTAATGCATTGTGTGGCGAGAAATGTATGCTCCGATGTAACTAGGGGATAACTGGGAACATTTGGTAGTGTGACCGCAGCCTGGGCCTCTCCTCTACTGACTTTATAAAGGCCAGCCTGAGACATTTTGTCACCTAAGGTGCAGCAGCAAATGGTACCTTCAAGAAATGAAATCATTACTAATCAGACTGCTTTGGCCCAGGAGGGAGAAAGCCCCAAGCACCTCTACCCAGCATCTAGAAACAAATTCATCACAACCATAAAGAAAATAATGGTCTGTTTCCTGCCTTCTCGTGACATCCAAATCTAAAACACTTGCTTCACTCAGCCTAGTGGTAGGCGTAGTCTTGATTTGTCCTGAGTGCTCTACATACTGTAGCATGGAAGGTACAAGTGGACAGCCAGTTAGAGTGTACAGATGAAGGGGAAGGTAGAAGGACAAAAAGCTAAGCAGGTGGCAGCTGCGCAGGAATCTAGTTACTCACTCCAGCCATTTCCTATTTCAAGATTTTTGTGCTGCTAATTGATAAAGACAAAAATAATAATAAATAGTACTTTCTTCCAGTGTATTTAGATCATAGCTTGCTTTACAGCCCTGCCTCTTCTTTTCAGTCTCCTTGCTTAAGAGTTTCATTTTTCTCAACAATGTATTTTCCTGGAGTTTTACAGTCTGAATTTTTGTTTTCCTTGATTTCCTGACTAACAATATTTTATTCAGTCTCACTATGACACTAGAGTCAACTGCAGTAAGTGAAATGTAATAGTGAACCATTGCTATAAATGTAATAGTGACCTACTGCCATACCTTGGCCTTGTATGCGTGGTATGCAATGTTTCTCAATATGCTGCCAATGTAAAAGAGTGTGCTTATAAAAACATTACACTACTTTCGCAGATATTCGTGGTGTGTGGTTATGTTTAAGTGCTCATCATGAGTGCCTCCTTCAAGAAAAATCCAGAAAATGCAGGCAGCTATGCTAATGACCTGTATCAGCAAACATGTTCCAGCAGTTTCCATCACCACCAGGAGCAGGATTGTTTTAAATCTAACAGGTCTTAATTAACAATTAAAGACAAAGCTTCACTCACTACTGTGCATTACAATAGGGAGAAATACTTCAAAATCACATATTATTGCTTGAAATAAATTGTACCCTTTTCCCTCAGCTTTTGCCAGTTTCACTGCATGGGTTATGTGTTTAATTAGGACAGATTCTGAGTTACCGTACATTAGATACTTGTACAAATGCAAAAGCAGGTGATATCTTTAAGTGATAATTAAGAATATAAAACAAAACCAAAAAAAAACAAAACAAAAAATTAGCAAACTTTCAATGATAAATCATCTTCTTCAAGGCTGTGCATCAGGTTCTTGTGGGCAGTTCCAAACTTACATACTGTCTCAAATTCACATGGCTGATGGTATAGAAGCCAGGTAAGCTTCTTAGATGGAAAGAGCTACAGCATGCATGTTGGTTTCAAGCTCTTTTTCAACTAGCAACTTGGAATTTATGGCCCATCTCTTAAAACAGAGGACAGTCAGAGGCAATTTGCTTCCCCTTCTCCTTTTCTGCCTTTTTGAAACCCAAAGAC